CAATTTCCTGCTGTATGTAGCAGAACCACTGTGAGTCCAAGCCACTGAATGCTGAGCCAGCTCATTTGAGAGACAAGGTGGGATGGGAGATGGGAATGAGCTTCCCGTGCCTGAATGATAATTTTGCACTCTTCATGGCAGGTTTCTGAACGTGACCTTACAGCAGAACTAGCTTGTGTGGAAGAACCAAGAGCAAGAGAGTAGATGTTTAGAGCTCAAATAGGATGTTTCTCTGCATTTCTTGTGATAAAAGCATTAAGATAAGGTAGTCACAAATATGGATTTACTTGCCTGCCACCTTGTTCTGTTACCTGGCAGGATTCAATAATGTACTGGTTAAAAGAATTATGTTCAGCCTACACCAGCACTTATGGTGCTGGAACAACACAGCCCAAGTCCCTTCATTTCCTTCTATAGGCAAGATGCTGGAAGCCAGCACAATTACTGTGCTCTGCTGGCCTTTCCCACAGTGAAACCTGGTTTTTATTTCCTGCTTCTTTAACCTTAGTAGCAGTGAAATGATCCCTGGAAAGCTTGTATTGATTGCACATTATTGTCTAATTAAAGTGCAATAAGAAGAATTGCAGAACACTCGCTCTCACAGCCCTGTGCCTATTGTAGACACTATAAATTAGAAAGCTTTCTGTTCAAATATGGAAAATGTCAGTGCTTATTTCCTTTTGAATTTCCCAGCATCTCCTGAAGGCTACACTTGTAGATGTGTGATTATTTTTTTTTTTCCCTAAATAACAGTTGGAAAGAAGTGTTTAGAGAAGAAATGAGACTCTGTAGGCTTGCAGGGGCCCTGTTCTGACCCTGTTAGCTACAACCCATGCTGTCTAAAGGGAGGCACTTCTAAATGAATGTATTTTAATCTGAAACCTGCTAGATGATCCTTTAGCATCATGTGCAGAGATATAAATGGGCATTAGTTATACAATATGTAGAGGCCAGTCTTTAAATAGTGCTGTCTGCTCTTACCTGGAGGCTGTTTGTTGCTCTGTCTGGACTTGATGGGTTTTTTTTTTCCATGGTACTTGTGGTTTAATACTTTCTAGTAACTTGTACCTACCTGAATTATACATAAAGAGCTAATAAAAGATAAATCCTAGTCCTTGCTGTAGCAGGAACTCAAGAGTATGTCATTGTAGTTCTGCATCTTGCTTAGTCATTGATTGAATACAAGGCCTTGAGGAAATCACTTAGCTTACCCAAACCTTCAGCTTGCATCTAGTCACCAGATGATACATGATACTCTATGGTACATATATAGAGATGTGTGAATGATCAATAATTCTGCCCAGGACTCTGGGTAAAAAGATGCTATAGAGAATGATGCACTGTTTTATGCTATGAATGAATGAATGATTCGCCAGTTGCTTACAAAAACACTTAAATATGTTTAGTATCATGTGTGAAACTGACTTTTCCTTTATCTTCCTTTACAGATGTACTTTCCGATTCCCTAGCACGGTTATAAAGATCCAGTTCACATCTTTATACCATAAAGAGGAAGCAAAAGAGGAAGCCTCATCACCTCCCCTTCGGCCACTTTATCCTCAAATATCGCCTCTGAAGATCCACATCCCGGAGCCGGATCTCCGGAGTGTGGTCAGTCCCCTCCCATCCCCCACAGGCACTATCAGGTAAGATGTTAACTATCCAAAGTATGCTCTCTGGAAGAGGTGTTCTCCAACACCAGTCTGACAGCCCTGTGTTGTTTATCTGGTATACTTGGTGCATGAAATACCCCATTAAAAAAAAAACCAACAACAACAACAAAAAACCCCAACTTGTTAAATATCTGCTGTTCAAAGTTATGGAAGAGTGTTAAAAACCATGTTACAGTGGCTAGAAATAGGGTGCAGGGGTTTTGTTTAAGAGCTCAAAAGGCTGGGGGAGAAAAACCTTGAGTCTCAATTTCACACTATAGAGTTACTAGTCTATCTTTGGCAGTGGAATTAGAAATATCTCTCAAGAGCTACCTATATGCATGGAGAAAAGAAAGCAGGCAAATATTTTCTCTGTTAGGACTGCCTGTTTTATTTTTATCTCAGTAATACTCTGTTGTTGCTGGGTGGTGCCGGTGTTATCTGAAGTTAGGGACAAGGGTGGCCATTGGCATGTGGTTTCCTGGGAATAAAAGGAAATGGGGGTAGGATGCTGACCGTGTGCTGAGGGGCTGTAGCAATCAGAATGTACATCTGTGCGAGTATCCTGTTTTGTAAATTATCTGATTCATGAATGTGCAGTAGAAATAACCTGAACATCAAGTTACTGTCTGGAATATTTTCTTTCCTTCTTTCTTGGCAGAGTTGATGTTACAGAGTTGCAGTAGTAATCACTTTTAACATTAAAGCTGTTACTTGAAGTATAAATTTTATAAAGCAAAGTAGTCTCATGGTATAGGATGATGTATTAGAGTTTTTATAAGTGCAGGCCTCACACCTAATTAAAGCAATAGCAAGAGTGTACCTGGTAATAGTAATAGCCTTTGATTTGTTTTCTTGTCTGTACATTTGTAAAAAGGTATAATACACAAACATCTTCTGACAGTTAGCACTAATTCAGTGTGTAGTATTCAAATTTACATGGCTGAGAACGATTTTGGTGTCACAATGAAGCCAGTTTGGTTTTGCATAGATCTGGAGGCGCTTGCTTGTTTGGGTTTTTCCCCTGGTCTTGCAAAGCTGCGCAGATGTGCAGAGCAGATACTCTAGAAAGAGGGGGCTGGAGGTAGCTGTGGTTTTAGCCCTGTGTTCAGGCACTGCTTTTAGTTTATATTTAACCTTCTCTTTTTAGATGAAGCTCGTTGCTGGGAGGGGAGGGGGATGGTTTCTTTGCCAACATATGGTAGTTAGTTTCCATTCAGTCATCTTGCGCAAAGCAGCGCAGTGTGGTTTGTGTTACTAACAGAGGCTGTATCTTTTGACTCCAGCATATGCCTGCAACTGATATTTGACTCCCCGAGAATGTTTCTTTTGCATAAGGAGAAAGTGGAAATAGTAGTGTTGAATTGTGCTCAGCCCCTAACGGAGTGTTTACTAAGGATGATTAATGATTGCATCCGTTTGTCTTGAGCAGAAGTTAATCCAGCCAAGTCTTCAGAAAACCTCAAAAGACATCTGAGGTTTCACTTGCCAAACCCCTTTCGTTTACAAGTTCCTCTTACAGAGGAGGGGCTGACACGTTTGTAAACATCCCTGCTCAGCCCCTCCAACCTTCTCCTCTCCCCAACAGGGTCTTGCAGCTCTTGTACATACCCTGTGGGCCACGCTTTGGGAAGTGATTTGGGTGTTTCTGCCCAAGAAAGGGAATGCTTTTCGGGGAGCCTGTAGATATGCATTCTGTCCAGCTGGCTTTCAGGGCAGCTCTCTGCTATCTTGGTGGCTTCACAGTGGTGGGTGAGGTTGGCACAGTGTCCTCTCCCCTTTCCCAAGGGCAGGTCTGTGAGGGCTGGTGGGGGCTCAGTGTGGGACCCACACCCCTGCCCCATCTCTGGCTTTGGGAGGTGGTTGCATGAGCTGGGCTCTCCTCCTCCCTCTCCCCCTTCCAGTATTTACTTTCCTAATTTGGTGTGTTTGCCTCGCTCCTCCCTGATTGGCCCATGGAAAATTATTGCAGTTTGGAAATCCTGGGCAGGGTGAAATTTCCTTTTTGGAAAGTGGCTCCTGTTCCCCTTTTCCTGCCACCGCCTCGGTGCGGGGCAGGGGCTGTACCTGAGCTCCCACTGCCAGATCCAGCCCTGCCCTCCTGACCCCCAGCCCTGCTCTGACTCCCTGTTTACATTGCAGTTTGCTTCCCTGCAGGTTCCCCCCTGCAAGCTTCTGGATTTTTTCCAGCCTATTTATTTTCCATCTGTGAAGTGCACCGCCTAGAGAGGGAATGAGTTTTAGTTAAACAAAACCAAACCTGCCACCCTCAGCAGCTTTGCAAAGCAAGATTCCTGCTTACTCCTGGGGAGAAATGTGTCCACTGTTTTTTTAGCTTGGTGTTTTATCTCCAGGAGGGGCCTGTTTGTAGATGAGTTTTGAATGCTGTTGTACAGCTTTAAGGGAAAATGTTGGTTGGCAGCATGTTGTGAGGCTTACACACAGGCATGGTTTATTTCTTCCTGCTTTGAGTTAAAAATTCCTTTTTAAAAAAGTCGAACTTGTATGTTCCAAAAAGGAAAAGGCCACTGTGGTTCTAAGAAGTTGGTAGAAGGCGGCGGTCCCTTTACACAGCGTAAGAAAGGTCAGAGCAGCACCAAATCTCTTCTCAGTATCTTCTCAGCAGATTCAAGGTATTGAAAAGCTGTGTGAAAATGATGTATAGTTTGGTTAAATTCAGCTCTGCCTGTTGGGAGATAGAACTGATTCACAGTTTTTGGACTTAAGGGATGGTCTTTCAGTATGTGGCTTTAAGGTTCTGCAGCTTGCACTTGGAGGACCCACTTTGGGTGATGCTCTTACTGGTGACATGAAGTTCTTCACCTGTGCTACAAACTTTTAGCTTTGTCTGGTTTTGCTGTTAAGTCCATGATATCTACGTGAATGTGACTCCATATACGTCTTGTAATTTAGTCCCCAGAGTGGCTTGTGCTTGGATTATAGACAGATCCACAGAGACAAGGTGTGATGTACGGGCCTATTTGGTCTCAAAGTCATGCTGAGTTGGAGTTTTTAGTGTTCAGTTTTCCTTCCATTATCTTCCAGTTGGTCTTAATGACCCCAGAGTAGTAACTTAACTTTGTTCTCCAAATGGCATCTCTCTTCAGCGCTGCCCCTTAGGGTCGGGGTTTTTTTAGTATTTATGAAAATGAAATTATTTCTTTGTATGTGCTTCCCTATTCTAAACAGCAATTATGTTCTCACTGATATATAGTAAAAAAAAAAGCTACAGTAAAGAAATATGAAGTGCTGTACTGTGGAGGTCAGTATCGTTACTTGTATTTTAGATCTGCTACTTCTGGCTTATCTCTGCACCAGAATGACTGTGGGCTTGAACACTCTGTCTTGTACTTGTTTGTTTTTTCACTGAAAGGGCATGGATAGTTAGCTCACATACACAGTCTTTATCAGTTAGAAAAAAAAATGCTTTGACATGTAGGAGGAAGAGCCCTTAGAGCCCTGTGAGAACCACTGCTTGAAAAGTGTCTGGTGAGGTTCTGTGCTAATGGCTAAACTGGTACAGATTTGTGTGTGAACCCAAATTTGTATTTTAGAGAATTGTTAGTACTTAATGAGCCTGCCCGTGTTCAGCTGTCGCTAGAAAGGTCAATACCTAGTTCACAATTAAATTAGTGGTATGAATAATGAAAGATCAGCTGGTATCCTTCTCTGTCTTTTGTTTTATAAACTTGATTAGTAAACCAGATGTAAGCTGTATTGCCATGGTTTCAGAAGCTGTACATTTTAAACCTTATTTCTTTTTTTCCTTATTTTCACTAGTCAAAACTAGTTCAGTAACACGTTACATGCTCGGATGGTGGATTACTCAGAGCCCTGCACTCCAGGAACTGCAGTTATCTTGGCTTAGCCACCAACTTGTTTTGTGGCCTTTAACAGGTCATTTAAATTCATTGTCTGATTTTTATGCATGTACAGTGTAATTACTACTTTCCAAGAGTGTGTAGTAGATAAATTATGTATTGAGCTTTTGTTCCGTTAAAGCATGACAGAGCAGTGCTTGTGAGCCATGTTATAGTAGATGTGCAAATGCTGGCTGGGCTTTGATTCAGACTTGGCGTGGAAAAAGGGAGTGTTTTTTAACAGGCTCCAGGACAGCCCTACAACACTGTTTCAGAACACTCGAGATTTAATCTGAACTTGCATGTTGCCTCTAAAGGTACGTAGTGAGAAGCTGAATGAACCCTGACTTCAGTGGATGCAGTCACTCACTGGAACAGGGTGCATTAATATTGCCTGCTCAGTTTCATTCAGGCTTTCCTTCTTCCTGTAACACTATTAGCCATTTAACTGAAAAGCTGGTGAAGAGCTCCCAGGCAGGTTTTTTTTGCAGGCTCTTTTGCATTGTCTTGGTTATCCATTACTTCCTGCATTCAGGCAGAATATACAGCTGGAGTAACTCCCACAATTGGACAGACCAGTGATTGTTTTTAATCACCCTTGTCTCCAAACCACAAGCCAACTAGTGTGATGCATATACATCCCATAAGAAAAGCAACAATCTATACCGGGCTTGGGAGTTCCTACACATGTTTATTTCAGATAATGGACCATGTGCTAGAGGAGATGTGCCAAGCCATGCGCTGGAGGAGAGGCTGCAGATGTCACCAGCTACACGAGCACTTCCTCTTCCCCTGATGAGCAGAAAATGTTCACTGAATCCACCATCAGAGCGAGCTCACTTCCCTTCAAAGAGGGGAACTGCTGGAGAACAGACAAGTAATAAAAAGTTCAACTTTTGCAGATAGTTAACTTTCTCTCACTGTGGCTTCTTCAACAGCTTTGTTTTTTCCTCAGCATTAAACAGGCAGGGTAACTTTCAGATTTCTCCTTTCACATCAAAATCCAGCTTGGTTTGGCAGTCTCACCACTTGTGATTGTTTCTGAAACTTGTCTGAAACGTGCAACGTGCAAAGACTTGCCTTTCTTTGAGTTACGATTTTGGGGCTAGGCCAGGGAAGGAGAAAGAGTGGCAG